TGGGGCCAGGAATCCGTTAAGGACGAAATGAAAGCCGTTCAAGCTGGTCAAGAAGAAATGAAAAGAGAAATTACCTGCATAATAGAAAATAAATTTGAAGCTATGGAAGGCAGATTTGACACAGTTGAAAATAAAGTTGGACAAATTGAAGAAAACGTTTCTTCCGTAAAAGATCAAATTGAAGAAAGAATTTCTTCGGTGAAAGAAGAAATAGAAGAAAGAGTTTCTTCTGTAAATGAACATATAGAAGGAAGAGTTTGTGCCGTCCAACACCAAATCGAACAACAAATTGATGATAGGGTTTCTGCAGTAGCCAAAGAAGTGGATATTTTAAAGAAATTCGTAGCGACGGCAGGGAACAATAGTGATGGTTTTAAATTTTTACCCATGCCTGCTCGTCCCTCTCTGAAGTTATCTACATATGATGGGAAGACCTCCTGGCAAGTGTATAAAACACAATTTTTCTATAGTGGCGGATGCGAATGGATGGGATTCCCAAACTAAGGCCTGTCATCTCGCCGCTTCGCTGAGAGCAGACGCAGCGGATATCCTGCAGACGCTTCCTGAAAACCAAAGACTTGACTTCGAAGCTATCCGGCGCATTGGAGCTGCGCTTTGGCGAGAAATGTTTAAAAGACTACAGCAGGCTTCAATTAAAATCCCGTCAACAGAAGCCCACCGAATCACTCCAGGAACTCGCCACAGGATGTTGAAAGGCTGTCCCACCTCGCCTTTTCGGAGTGCCCGAGAGAAACGAAGGGAAATCCTGTCGCTGCAATATTTCATTCGTCGATGGCATCCGGGATCCCTGAAATACAGAAAGCTCTACGAATGGCGGATGTTAAAGATTTGAAAAGCGCTTTAGTAGTGTACGCCATGAAATTCGAGGCAGCCCAGCAAGCCACTCGTCGAGAGACCGCCACCCAGTCAGAGCTGCTCAAGTCCAGGGAGCCAGGGAATCAACTCACCGCTCGTCTAGACGATTTAACTAGACAACTCGAACGCCTTGAGACGGAATATTGGTGAGAAGAAACCGACCGTTAAGTGCTGGAACTGCGGTGCTGAAGGTCACCTACGACGGCAGAACACCCCAGGGCACGGATAATAAAACGGATGAGTTGACAAGACCAGTGAATGCCTTAAGACGGAATAGTGGTGAAACGAAACCGACCCTAAAGTGCTGGAATTGCGGTGTTGAAGGCCACCTACGAAAGAACTGCAGAACTCCCCAGAGCACGGAAAATAAGGCATACAATTTAAACAGACAATTAAATGCCACGGGAAGGAAAAAGGACTGACAAGAAACCAAAGTGCTGGAACTGTGGAGCTGAAGGCCACACGTACGAAAGAATTGCAGAACACCCCAGGGTACGAAAATTGAGACCATTTCTGAGCAACGACGCAGGAAACAAATTAATGACCATATCAAGGAACGGAGGTTGCCAGATAATGAAAAACCCTGTTTTAAAAAAAGCGCTTAAGATTTCTATAGTGAGTGGCAACAGTAACGGACTGTCCATCAATGGGAATATCGATGGAGTTCCTTGCAATATGATCATTGACACAGGAGCTAATGTTACCATCATTAGGAAAGATTTAGCTGAACAGTTTAAAGATAAACTTATTTGGACGCCATCCTGTGTTACCCTTCAGACTGCGTCTGGTGACAAGATCGACATAACTGGGAAGTTAAACGTAAACATCACGTTTGGAAGTGCCGCCTACCATCACACGGCATATGTGGCGGATATCACAGATCCATGCATACTCGGATTGGACTTTTTAAGGAAATACAATTTTTCCTTAGACTTTCAAAAACAACAAACTGCTTTCAGCATCTGATGACATGACTATCCATCCTCAAAAGGATCCTCGCCTGGAAATGTCGACGCCTTGTCCGAAAGACCCAGCTCGGGAAGCTGCCGAAATCATACTAGGGTCGAAAAGAAACGCAAGACTACCAGCTATTCTCCATCTCCAGAAGCTCTTCGGTCGAGACCTTCGTCTGCCTTGTGACCGCCTGTTTGATCGCCATACGGATGCGCCTTCATCGCCTGAGGAACACATCCAAGATGTCCAGGCCCGGTTTGAAGGGATGCACCGTTCCGCACGAAAGCGAGTGAACTTGGCGACGGAGAAAGTGAAGACCAGATGCACACGAGAGCTACTAGGACATAGATCCAACAAAGGAGACAAGGTGTGGTTGTGGAACCCGATTCAACGAAAAGGACTGAGTCCTAACTCAGTCCTACAGTCAAACTTACGGATCATCCGAAACTGTAAATTACAGTCACTTCGGATGGTCCTATACAGTGCTGAACAGACTAAATGACGTCGTGGTTCGGATCCGTAAGTCTTCGAAATCTAAACCTAAAGTCGTTCATTACGACAGGTTAGCTCATTACTATGGCCATAGTACGTAATGTAAATAATTGTAAATAGTATAAGACCATGGTCCTTTTGTTTTTAAATGTGTATTTGATTTGTATTTGATTTAGCATTTGATTTGTTTTATTTATTGCATTTATTGTTCATGTTGTTTATTATTGTAATGTAATGCTTATTAATGCATTTATGCCACAGTTGTAAGTTTAGCTTCCTGTCCAGGGATTGTACTGCCCGGGACGTGCAGTCCTTGGGAAGGGGGCAGTGTTACGAATTTGGTATTTAAAAAGCTAATGTTAGTTCAATTATAAATTAAATGGTTTTATTTCTCGCGCAGTGCAGCGCGTGACGAATATTAAAAGAAAGCTAAGCCGGAAAATTGAAAATACAAGAGCGCGTGCATTAAATAAATATCTCTTTTTGATTTCGAGAAAGTACTGGAAAATTCTAGCGCGTGATTTTAAAATCTTATAAAGGAGGAAAACATCTCAGTTTGTAGTAGTTGCTTAGTTTTGTTGTTGTTTTAGAAAACTGCTCTTGTTGATTGTAGCGAATTCGCGGATTAGCGTTTCTTTAGCTGTTTTGAATTACGTTCTATTGTACATTTGAGTAGTTAAAAGATAACTACTGTGAGATATTGTAATACTGCATGATAATTTGAGAAAATTTAAGCATTTTTGTTGTGATAATAATAAATTTTTGTTCATTTTTCATCGGACTTGTGCATTCACTTCAACGAACCCGTACGCACGCAACAATATTTTTATTATGCTGTGCCAGGTTCTCATACATAAAGTTCGTACTGTATCTCAATACTGTAATGTATCTGTACATGTTTGTAAGTTTTTATTTATGGTACCTAATTTATACTAAGGATCCCGCGTACCTCAATGGCATGTTTCTTGTAAACTTTAACTATCATGATAACGTATTTGTTTGGATGTATATATCAATATGAGTAAGAGTATGTATACTTTTATTTGTTTCGAAATATTATGTAAGTGTGTATATATATGTATATTAGTTGGTATTTATATGTATATACATATATTTTGATTGTACTCTTCTTCAAGTGCCTTGTATGCACATGTATATCTCTTTTTTTGCATTTTATAAATGCCGTCTGCTCAGTCGGGGCTGCCCAGGGCTGCGGCCTGGTAGCTAGTGGTTGACTCCCGCCGAGTTGGTAACCAATTCTGCATGGATATATCTATATCCTGGGTCGGAAGCCAACTCAGCGGTTTACCTCCTCTAACCACTATATCATATGGGCGGCTGATGGTAGCTCTATAGAAGGTGAATTTGGTGTAATAAGGACATTACATAATATTTACAAACATTTCTTCTGGAACAACTCAACAAGCAGATGCAGAGAAGTGGTATAAATACTATGCTTGCCAAACTAGTAAAGGCTTCCAGACACGTACACGAGGAAGATTGAGTCACCATTTTAAAGCATGGCTCTGTATTCGCGGACATTTACCTATACAATCAAGGCTAACAAGAACATCCCTGTTGTCATGGACAATTTTAGTAAATGACCGGAAGCTTACATCATCACTGATCAATTAAATTCACGTGTTGCAAAATTCTTAGTAGAAAATTGTATTCAAGGTTTCGACATCTGTTCTTATTCACTCTGACAAAGGAAAAAAAACCCTCATATCTGCCTTATTTAAAGCAATATGTAGAATTTTTCATATGGAAATTCTTTTAACTAGAAAAAAAATTATCATAATTTCTAATTAATGCAAATAATATTACGAGTTTCGTATATGACAATATTGAAGCCCGCAAATATTTTCTATAACACGAATTCTACAAAACCCCCCGAATAATACCTCTTTTTTTAAAAAAAATATATTGATGAATTCGTTTCACGATAATCAGCATTGAAATGACAATTACTTGTTTTAACACCAGAATAGCAAAGAACAACACAGAATGTTCTTAACACAAAAATATATTTTTTTAAAATCTGCTATAATCAGTAACTCCATAGGAACACATAACGCTTCACTCAGTGCACCGTGCTGATTATGATTACCAGCATTAAATTAAAGAAATCCGTCAATTTTGATCAAGCGAAAGACACACGTTTTTCATTTTATAAAAGAAAGTATAAAAATTTCAGTTTTTGCAATTTTAATTTTTTTTTTAAGTTTAAAATGCTTAATACGAATATTTGCATCATTTAAAATATTTTAATACTTGGATATACATGTCTACGACCAACGATGGCGAAAAATATGTCAGGTAAAGAATTTTGTGGACACTGTGTATTATATGCAGCATATCATCATAACAGTGAAACACATCTTAGCATTAAAACTAGTTGCGCAGTAAAGCCACTCGGGATTGGAAGTAACACATTCAGTAGTTTGAATTTTGAGACGAATAAATAATAGTTAAGTTGTACGAACATAAGGAAATTTCAAATTTATCAAACTGCCGCCTTACACTTTTATAGCATGAAGTTGGTGAAAAACATGAAAATGAGTTAAATATACTAGAACTAAATCTGAAAATTAAATGCTATCTGTTTTGTGATTGAATTTGGAAATCAAAATTGTAATAAAACAATGTTTGTAAAATTTGATAACTAAGATGCAAGATAGCTGTTAAAATCTATTATATTTCAAGTAAAATATTTTATTCCTTTAAGATTATTTTATCTCTTCCAAAATCATGACTTTTGACATTGCAAATGTTCTACATTTAGTTTTTACATATATTAGATAACTCATCATTCAATGAAGAACATAATGTAAGTTCTGCTCTACTTCTATATTTATAATGAAGCTTATTCGATTGGAATTTTCATTTGAACTTCCCATTCGATGTAGTCCAAATCAACGAATAGTTTCCTTTCACGATAAACATCCCTACAATTTCTTCTGCAAGTAACAAGGTAGATTAAATATGCGTAGTTTTGTACCACATTATTAAATGCTCTTGATCTTGCACAAGTAATCTATCAGGACCTGAAGAAATAAAAAATAGAAATTCAAGCATGACATATAAAAGATTTCACAATTAAACTACATGCATAGTTTACTTTTAAAATTTAAATTAATGCTTCAAAAAATGAATTTGAGTTTATGATACCGAGGTAAAAAATAAGTATGATGAAAAACTTCAAAATTATTACTAATCAAATCTTAAGTACGAAATTCATGCATTGAATAGACGAAGTTATTAGATTATAATTTAATTCAACCTGTTATAGGTAGATAGATAGAAAAAGAAGCTGCCAGAGCCTCGAAGAGGTTGACTAATCGGTCAAATTAAAGGAAACTCCATCCCGGAATTGAACTGTGACAGAGCCATATCGACTATCATAACCAGACTTAGGACAAATCACTTAAAAGGGATGAAGATTTCTGCAGACGGACAGCGTAGTTACACCAACATTTGTCCTCATTGGCCAGATGACATCCCACTGTCTCGCCATCACATCTTCAGCTGCCCAGCAATCCAGGCCAGGACTGTTTAAATCGGCATTGAGGACCCAGTAGACCTACTTTATACGATAGAGCTGCCGAGGTTGCAAAAGCTGTCTTTGAAGTTCGGAGCTATTATTGCACTTTGTCAAGACACGACATATCACATCATCATAGTAGATAGATAGATAGATTCATACTTTACTATAACTTCTACTTTTCTCACCAGAATCGAATGAGTTAAAAGTATTTTAAGTCTTTCGAGTAATATTAAATAGTGCAGTCCTTGACTACTCTTCCACATTTAACTTAATTTTGACTGTTCAGCTTTGTTGAATCATCACGGCTTGTCGCTGATACTGTTCACACAAGAACGTGCGTTTGTATTCTAAATTCTGTTTAAATAAAACGGTTGTTTAATTTTTCTAAAGACTGTAATTACTCGAGATGCAGCGACAATTTGCTTTACTCCTTTGGGGCCCGTTGGACTACTACCAGTTCCATAAAATTCAAAAGAGGAGTCTGAGCAAATTACTGATCATGTCGCAAGACAAAGCAGCATTTAATCTAAGACACAATAACACGCCGAACAAATACTAATTCAGAAGTCAAACAACAAAAATCAGCGAATCATTTGCGCTTTTGCAGCTGAGGATGGTGGTTCGGTAAAACCATCGAAACTAGACCTGAACTGTGACAGTTTGAAAATATAACGCTGATTTTTGTTGTTTGACTTCTGAATTAAATCAGCATTTAATCTGTCCTTCCTCCCAGGATTACAGGCTTCACCGGCACCAGGAAATCCAATGGAAGGCTTCGTGTTCATTGTAGATATGATGCAAGAGCACATGGAAACAATAACTATTGTTACGTTTTTCTATTCTTCTGACACCAGTTGTTACGTTATTTTCTTCCTTCACGTTCGTACGGGGTTTCGTGTGGATTTGGAGTGAATAATGACAATACACTTGATGAAGTAAATTGTAAGAATTGGAGGCTCCCTTCAGCCACCTGGCACAAGTGTCCCCATAGCTCAAAGAAGGGCCCCGTATCTCCACAAACGAGGGCAGTCAGTAAGCCAGCCCCCCCCCAAACAACAAACAAAAATAAATCAAACTAAATAAGCACATCTAACACAATATTACAGACTAAAAAACTAACAAAAATCCATAAACACAAATTCACAACATAGAACACCACAGATATTCAAAACCCACACAAACACAAAATTCAATTTTAACAGAAGATTCCTACCAGCGCCCTATTTTTATTCATAAACTTCATTAGAGCAATAGAATATGATTTAAAAACTTTAAAATTAATGACACTTACATTAAAATCAGTAATGTTAAAAATCTGTCTAATAGGGGCTGTTAAACTACAATCAACCACGAAATGCCTAGCATCACCATCAACCTGACAACTATTACATAATTTATTTTCCTGCAGTTTAAATCGGTTGAAATAGAACGGAAACCTACCATGTCCCAGTTAAAACCTGATTAACATCAATGTTGTTCATACATTTCATTTTATTTGTGATTTTAATTAGTTCCATAAATCCTTTGTTTTTAGGTGAAGAAAACCACTGTATTTTCCATTTGTTAACGTAAATATTTTTTCATTCTTCGAATTGCAATTCTCTTCGAACCTGTTACTTCAATATCCATTGCACTGACATTTGAGACCGCCTGCTTGGCCAGGCTGTCGGCCCTCTCATTACCAATAAAGCCTATATGGGCCTTAACCCAATGTAGCTTAATATTTAAATAGGAACTCAAACTTTCTAAATGACTCTTAATTTCGACAATTAATGGATTGAAATTGTCTGGGCGGGAGAGAGCATGGAGAAGTGATAGGCAGTCAATATAAATATTTACAGACGTGGGCATAAACAAGGTATTTTTAATTCATAATAAGGCTTGTTTGAACGCTTCACTTTCTGTCTGGAAAACTGAATTATATATATATTGAACTTAAACATTCTATAATCCACCTCAGTTCCATAGTAAAAAACAACAAAAGCAGCTCCTACGCTCCCTCCGACCCCAGAGCCATCTGTATAAATATCAAACACATGAACATTTGGATTACATTTATCAAAAACAAAACCAATTCTATTGGAAGGATTTATTAAATGAATATTAAATTTTTCAAAAATATTTTTTGTAATTAAATAATCTTCATACATTTTCAATTCTAAATAAAAATTTCTCATAAAAAAATTCGTATAAAATTGAGAGAGGAGGCAGCCCAGCCAACATAAAGACGGCCTCGGATCACACTGGATGAAGTATCGAAACACACTTTATTTAGCCAATACTGATCAGGACAGCTCCAAAGTCACGTTTTACAGTCGTCGAAGATCTACTATAAACACGCTGACACGATCAGCGACACAGCCTTCAGGTTATCAGGCTATCACGGTGGAGATGGCTTCACGGCAACTTGGGTACAGCTCGCGATTCTGCTCGGTCGTTCTCGGAACTCCACGTACTCTCGAGACTCTCCACGCTACAATTCGCGATGCACTCGACGACACACAGAGCACAGCTCTCGACTCTTCGGTTCAATCGTTCCCGGAGCTGAACACGCTCTCTCGACGACGATGCACTAACCGCGATACACTACGAGACTCTTTCGGTGCACTCGACGACCCACTCGGCACTCGCTGCTCGGCTGTCAACTCGATCGATTCCGCACGGACTGACTCGCTAGACGAGATACACTCTCAATACTACTGACTGACTGCGGACCAGCAGGGTTTATATAGCTTTCGGCTTGTGTTTGAGATCATTCTGGGCTAAACCGGTAAGAATTCGTTCCAGAAGGTTCTCCATCAGTCCATGGTATATTCCCAATTTGGTCGCCAAATGGGCGGTTTCTCGCCAAATGTGGCAACCCTTCCTTCTATTGCCATTTTGCGACAACCCTAAAATTGCTTTGCGGGGAAGCCATCTTACCGCGCCTGTACATTTCGTAACACTATTTTTGATGGAAGAAGTACGAAAGTGACTTTACTGGAACAATTACAGACTCACCTTATTGAGTTCCAGAAGTACAGAATATCACCGCAGCAACCGCCCCGCAAGAAAATGTTACGGAATTGTGAATTGGAAAGTCATCTGCTAACTAGGCAGTTCTGACCAAAGGTTCCTGGGTGGAATTGCGCTAACCTTATCGATTTCATGAGGCACTATTCGATCCTTGAAAATTACCATTACGTGGGAAACGATGCGCAATAATTTCGTTGTGTAGCCGGTGATATTGAAGGAGCTTACAAATGACAAAAGATCAAAGCATAGGTAAGCTTATGAAAGCTTAACACTTTGTAAAATGCCGACAGATAGCGCAATTTAAATACAGTTGAAGTGACTCTTATCGATAGACATAAGGATAATACATTCAAAAGATTCCATACACATTAAAATCAAAGTCGTGGAATAGAAATACGTACTCTCCGAGTAATGAATTGCTGCAGTCGAATTGCTGATTGGACCTTTATACAATATCCAGAATTTTCCATCTTCGGGATCGTTAGTAATTCCGCTATTTCATAAACGTACATTTTCCCGGCCACTCGTTTACTTTTGAAACTGAAAAAAACAAAGCATATTCACTTCATCTATAATTACATTTTCAAAGAGCATTAAAGAAATTTCATTAAAAATACTGTTCTTTTAAACACTAAGGTGCTTATTCTTCCTAAATGCTTAGGATTTTCTCGATTATTTCAGATTGAACTTTACCATTCGAGAGAAACAAATATGACGATCATTTAAAAATGACGTTTTCTTAAAATCTGTATCACGAAGGCATTTATAACGCAAATATCTCAAAAATGTAGATAATTTAAATTTTGTTTTTTGACCACATACTGCCTTTTATTTTTTCGATGCATGAGCTGCAAATTTATGATGTCATCAAAAAGAAAGATGCAAACTAGAATTCGGGAAGCTTAAAATTTTATGTCAACTTTTCCGGCAAACACTACTCATAGTCAAAAACATATTTCTTATTTCTGTTCCACGTGCATCACTTTTACTTCATATTGGACATTTGGACATTTATTCCATTCTCCCTTTCTTGTAATATTCTTTTCAAAATTTTATATGTTATTTAGTGTAGGTAGGTCATTTCATAGGTTTGAGAATGCAAAAGTATTTTTTACCTCTCAATTCACAGCTAACTGCTTTTCCGTTTTATTCTATTTTAGCTCTCAAGAAAGTTTTCATAGGAATTTTCAGTTTCTAATAGCAGTATCAAACCGTTAACAATCATTCATCGCTCTCGATATTCTTGATATGTTACTATATTAAAAATCTGATGTGTACACCACATGACTTCCTTATACGGAATATTAAATTATACGCATTTTTCCTTGCATTTCATTTAAACTTATTGGATTGAATTAAATCTGCTCTTCGCCGACAGCGCCTAAAAACACAACAGAATCAAATGCTTTCTTTAAAATATACTCTAGTATTTGTTTACCATAGCGACACTCTGGCGCTAGATTGACTTAACAGTATTATATTTCGTTCATATTACAACTGATATGATGATGGATGTCTTATTTAAGTCGCTATGTCCCAGGATATGAGAGGATGTCCTGAAGATGTTGATTCTCAGATGTCCTGAGGACTTCAATTTCACATCCTGAGGATATTCATACTGCATTGTCCGGAGGACTTAGGTTGTCAAACATTCTGAGGATATTTGTTTTCAAATTTATCAGTTTTAGTTTTTTGACACTGCACATCTGAAACTTGCACATTGTTTAATTTTCATATGTATTTTACTATGTTGTTTCTAAATGCTGTCCATTAAAAATATTGATATGATTGATAATTTTTTTCTTGTTATTTTGTTATTAATTTTAACTGCTATTTTTTCTGACGTTTTTTAAAAATTATTTAGTCATGGAAAAAGATTTTTTTTCAATGGGTTAGCATTTTTCTAGAATATTGGCTAAATTCCAATAACATATATTTTTTATAAAAATGTATAAATTACATGTATAAATTACTTACAGATTACAAACCCTACTATAAATATAGGTAAATTAGAATTTTTTTTTTAATTACGGAAACGAATTTTTTTTAAATAGGGTGTAGAGACATTAGGTATTTTTTCAGAAGCAGGAAAGATGAAAAATTAGCAACTGCCTTCGCCGGGAATCGAACCACGGACCTCTGGAATATCGGCCCAGAGTGCAGAACCATAGAAGCAGTGACTGGGAGAATGTTTTGATACGGACAAGCTCTACGCTACATAAACAATGTCAGAATTCTGAAATAGTTGTACACAGGCCTGGTCGTGAAAGAATAACAGCTGCTTCATATGTGTTTTCTCAAAGAAACAAGAATCACTTTAATCTGTGCAAAAAGCATCGGAACTAGAGTGAATGCCACGGGTCTCATGTTCTCTTTACTGATGAGTGGAGGTTTAGCTTAGCATCTAATTCTAAACATATTTACATCTGAAGAGATTCAGGGACGTGAAATCTTCCTTCTAACATTATGAAACATAAACGCTTCGATAATGCACTTCTGATTGTATGGGGAGGAATATTGATCAATGTACGTATACCCCATATATTTTCCACATCGGGATCTGTGACTAACCAGAGACAATGAGCGAATTCCGTGGCCAGCAAACTCTCCTGATCTTAACACAATAAATAGCTTATACGAATGTTTTGGAATGTATTTTAATCTTAATTAATGAATTAAATTGAACTTTTCCTTATTGTAAAACCATTAAATTAAATAATCTCTTTTATTATTACTCTTTGTAAAACATACATATATCCTACAGTTTATCACATAAGGAAAGAAATTTTTCAGAGAACTTAAATAAAATAGTTCATTACATGAAGTGAAGGACAATCTCTACACGTAATAAAAGAAAGAGTCTGTGTGTCTTTCGTTCGCGCTCCGCGTAAGCTATTAGACCCACGAAATTTGGTACATAGGTGCATCTAGACAAGAGCCAGTGCACCTCGAAGCGATTTTTTCGAAATTCGAATTCGAAATTTTTTTATTTTATGTTTTGTGACGAAATCGTGTCATTTTGAGACATAATGGCCTACAGGAAAGCGAGATTTTACTACTCTACGCACTCCATTTTCACATCGTCATGAAAAGTAGGCACTTAGCTATTTTACGAACTTAAAATAAATTTCGTGTTTCAATAAATCGATTCAATACGAATTTATTTAACAAAGGGAGCTTAACACATTTTCAACGGGATTTTTTCTAAAAAAATTTATTTTTAAAAATGTATAGCTTATTTTTTAGTCCAATTCAGTCCCGAAGGACTATTGTTTTCGTTTTGGCATTTTGCGTCGGACTCATAAACGTCGGTTCACTTTTCAAACTGTTGCCACAAAATGTTGAGTCCTGCATTATATTTGAAGAAATTAAATAATGAAAATCTGCATAAATGATTGTCTATTTCTCGCATTTGATAAAACAATGGTACATAGAGCCATCGATTTTTGAATGACGAATCCTACTGCGAATATGGGCATTTGAAAATCCCAAATTTGGAATCTGTTTTGTTATTATAGATTTTATATTTTGTAAAACTTTAAAACGAATTTTGATTTACAAACTCAATGCTTTAAAAGCGAGAAATGGCAACGTTTATAAGAAAAAAAAAAAAAAAAACTTTTTATCTCCAGCTCGCGAGACTGTGTATATCGGAAATTCTAAAGATATGCTTAATTTAACATTATTTTGCGATATTGCTCTTGAACTGAATTTATGGTTTAAGTGCAAAGAACATGATATTTAATAAAAAAGGTAACACTCAAAACGTTAAAAAAACGCCCCTTTGGACGTAATTTAAATCTGAAAAATTTCAGATTTTTTTTTTTTTTTTTTTATCCCACCAAGTTTGCTCTTCGGTTAGTGTGAGATGTTTGCTTCACGGAATCGTCCTTTAGTTTTTTTTTTTTTTTTTTTTTGATTTTTGGACACGTTAAACTTTCATCCTTGCGACTGCTTTTACAAAAAGAATGTTGGAAAAATGATAGTATTTCGTATTTTTAAAAGATTTTTTTTAAATGAAGCTTCCGAGTACACTTCTCCCATCTTTAAAAATGTGATTTTGGCAACAATTTTCCTGTCTTATTGTTGTTGATAGATTTTTGATGAAATCGCTTCATTTTGAATAGCTTCATTCTTTTAGAAATATGGGCTTGGCAACAATTTTTCATCGTATTTCTTATGTCACTGTTTTTAAGAGATTGGCATGCTTCATTGTCATTCTTTTATATATATAATACATTTCTATTGATGTTTTTTATAAAATTGTTCTGAAGAGTAAAATTGTGCGCTGAATTTTTGTTTTTTGAGTTTCTTTCATGTTATTTTTTGCTTATTTCACTGTTTGTAAGATATTGAAAAGTTTTGCATGATTTTCTTCCTTCAACGGAAAGTTGGTTAATTTTTTTTAATTAGGATAATTAATATTTGTATTAAAGGATATAGGTTATTTCATTGTAATTTTTTTTCTCTTAAAAACATAAGATAAAATATCATTAATTATACTTTGCTTTTCAGAATTTTTTGTTTTTTGTATTCTTTTCTGTTATTTATTGCTCAGAAGTTGTTCTGCAAAGTAAAATTCTACGCAGTTTTTAAATATAATATTTGGTGTTCCCATCAGCCATTTTTCCGATACATTTAAAAGCCAGACGAAGGCTGGCAGCGAAGCTGCTAGTAATGATTATAAATTTGGGATTAGCAGTTTAAGGAATAATATTAGTTAACACGTTTTTCAGAAACAGTTTAGAAAATGTAGCAAGAACTCCGTCATGAAATGAAACTGTTTATCAATTAAAAATTTTCAATGCTTTTGTAGGACTTAGTTCTCTTTTTTTTTACTTGTGGAATGTTAGTCTTAATACATATCTGTTGATATAGGGTTTCTCAATGAGAATACCTCGAAGAGGAAAATTTTATACTCTCGTGGCGGGCGGTACTGATCAACCTGACACTGGTAGATTTAAATCATGCAAAAGAGAACTACGACATGGTTGAAATTTCGCAACATCAAAACGGTTGAAAAAGTTAAATTTAGGCCTGATGAGAGTGATCAGAAATCAATGCAAACATTTTTCTCTTTATACAGAGGCTGTTCACACATTTTTTAGACGATGTATATTGTATTCACAAAACTAAATTACATAAAATTCTTGTGTTTTAAATGTTCTATTTGATACCCCTTATTCTGAACTATTTTTCGACACCGCAATTTCCAGGATAATAATGCCTTTTGAAGTGGCAGAAGAGGTATTCTATCCCATTCCTTCCGAACAGCTTTCCAGAGTCCTGTTAGGGTTTTGGGACCAACGTTTGGATAATGCAGTTTTTAAAAGTTTGAAAGCACAAAAATCCATAGGTGACACATCGGGAGATTTAGTAGGGATATCAGTGAAGGGTATGACATGATAATAAATGGCTCTTTTTTGTTACAATCATTTAAATACACCCATGCTTCGTCTATTGTGACAATTGTTTTCCATTTTTCTTTGGATAAGTGTTTCTCAACGTTTATCATTTTGTTTACAGTGGACACCGAGCAT